GCGATTCTTTTCTTCTAGCGGTTTTTTCGTCTTGCGAAGCAACCCCATTGGCGGCTAAGCGGATTAGCGCTATTAGCGATTTAGTGCTATTAGCGGCTTAGCGGGCTTAGCGGCTAAACTGTTAAAAGGCTATTAACAGCTTAGCCGCTTTGAAAAAGGGGGGGGGGGGGAAGCGGGGGGGAAATGGCGAGACTCGCAAGACGTTTTTGTCTTGCGAAGCAAGCCCATAGGGAACTTTGTCTTGCGAAGCGCCTCCGTGACGGAAAACCCTTTCGTCTAGCGGGTTTTCCGTCTTGCGAGGCATTCATCTTGCGGGGCACCACTGTAATAACAATAATAATAATTAATGCTGGAAAGTGATCCCAAACCTGCCCACAAGTCCTTGAGGAAATAAGACAACTTAGATGATACCTTAGTTCCCTAACCACTGAAGCAGCTTGCCGTGTTTCTTGAGAAAAACATGGGTGACTTGAAGAGGAGTGGGAAATAACCAAGGAAAAGGAACGTTTATGCTTGCCACTGCTGTGTTTTTTTTTGTTGGGAAAAACACACACAAGAACAGTGGTATAATTTTATATAGACAGTTTCTCAGCCGTGCAATTCTGTTTCCCTGCAGGTTTGTGAGCGAATCCCAACCATCAGCACGCAACTCAAAATCCTCTCTACTGTCAAAGCCACCATGTTGGGCCGCACTAACATCAGCGACGAGGAGTCTGAACAGGTAATTCTCACGCCTGCCACAAGGGTGTGTGTGTGTTGCAAGCTTGGAATTGTCCACTGCATAGGCAAGCAGGCTTTGCACGACTGGTGAAACGATCTTAGCTGCCAGCAGGGACTCCCTTGCTATCCTTTTGCTCTTGTAAGTTTTCTTGCTAGAGTAACCGAAAGGTGTGGCTAAAGGTATGCTTATTTCTACGTGCGTGACACTTTGTAGATTCAAAACAAGTGTGACTATGACGAACTGACCCTCATTAGAACTAGGATGTGCTTTTTTGTCAGGTACACTCGGTGGCAAACTGTCCCTTGTTTTTGCTGTGTTCATGTCCTGCAACAAAATATATTTTATGATCCAAAGGTAGACCTGGTTTTCTTGCTTAATAAAATTTCCCACAGCCTGTTTAGTTATTAACTAGCACCCTCTGGTGGATATAAATGAATGGTTCTATGGTTTGCCTGAACGCTGCCGTAATCCACCAGATTTTATCAATATCCAGCGCAGATGTTGTTTTGCTGTTGGGGACAATTATCCCAAACCTTCCCTGTGACTGTCGGATTTTGCTTTCCGTTAGAAAAATGTGGCCACTAGCTTTGGTGGTTTTTAAAGGGGGTTAGACAAATGCCCAAAGGACCGATCCTCACGGCTGCTAGCTGTGTTAAGGCACTCCATTTTCATAGGCAATGTACCTCTAAATTCCTGGGGTGGGATCCAGGCTGTCAACGGAGATTGGGACTGTTTCTTAATGCCTCACCTATGGGCTTCTCTGCCCGGGCGCTGGATGTTGGATAAGATGGGCCTTTCCCAGATCCCCCAGGGCTCTTCTTACAGATGCATGTTGTTGTTCTTTTTTTTAAGTAAGGCAAGTGAATGGGCATCCATCTCTCCTGGATGCTTTTGCTGAGATTCCTGCAATGCAGCGGGTTGGACTGGATGACCCTCGGGGTCCCTTCCATGAAATACTTTTGCAAAGCTAACTGCAGAGGGGTTAGAGCAGAAGCTGAATGTACATCCCATGAACATCTCTCTCAGCACTCTTACCCTGTTGGATGTGAATGTCCCAATCACTGCCAGCACAGTCGGAGATCACTATGTGCAGCTAAGAGCTTGTATTGGCACATATAGGGCAAAACAGTTGGAGCCTACAGATGGCATTTTCCAGAATAGTCTATGGCAAGGTAGTCGATATGGTCTCCCCCCCACCCCCCGATGTTGCTGCACTCCAGCTCCTATTAGGGAGCACAGGGAGGCTGAGTGGAAAATTCCACTAAAATAAAAACATCTCGGTCAGATGTTTGCATACTTGGTGTCATTTGGGCTGTGCGTGGTGCTTTAGAATCATGATTTTCAGGTTGGACATTGGATTGATACTGTTGAAGCACACAGCTTGTCTTCAGATGCCCCTCCCTTGATTAAAAGCCAGGTTTTAAATATTAGCATGAAGTTCTTGAGACCTTGTTAGATGCCCACATACTGGAATGGGCTTGCTGCCAGTTCAGCCTCTTTTGTTGTTGCTCTTTATTCTAAAAATGAGCCATGCCTCTCAGGTTGTCATCTGAAAATGCCTGTGTTATTTTTATATATACAGTGGTACCTCGGGTTAAGAACTTAATTCGTTCTGGAGGTCTGTTCTTAACCTGAAACTGTTCTTAACCTGAAGCACCACTTTAGCTAATGGGGCCTCCTGCTGCTGCCGCTGCACAATTTCTGTTCTCATCCTGAAGCAAAGTTCTTAACCGAGGTACTATTTCTGGGTTAGCGGAGTCTGTAACCTGAAGCGTATGTAAACCCGAGCGTTGTACCACTGTATTTTAAAAAGTGCTTTCAAACCACTCTCTCTTCTGCAGGCCACGGAGATGTTGGTTCACAACGCCCAGAACCTTATGCAATCTGTCAAGGAAACAGTTCGGGAAGCTGAGGCCGCCTCCATTAAAATAAGAACAGATGCTGGATTCACTCTACGCTGGGTCAGGAAAACTCCTTGGTACCAGTAGAGCGCTGCCTTTCCCCTAAGCGTATTTTTTTTTAATAGAAAACCCCTTTGTTGGAGCAAAGAGAATTCTGTAAACAGCCAAAAGGTGCTTGAGCGATTAAAACTAGCCCCCTCCCCTGGAACTCCCTCTCTTAAGGGCTTTCATAAGTGTGCTGAGCTACCTTTGGTATCTAACCTCACCACAATTAGCTTCCACAACGACAAGCTTTTCTCTCTTTGCTTTTGAGGGTTTTTTTGTATCTCCCGTTTTCATGAACTCTGTAACCTCAGTTCCCCCTCCCTGTTCGGCAGCATATATTCCAGTGGTTTTGTAGGAGAGGCAGTATATGCAGATTTCACTTTAGCATGGATGAAAACTCTGGGAAGCTGGTTTGCTTAGCTGTTTATTGTGAGGGACAATCAGAAGACAGAACAGTCCAGCACTTCCGTTTTCTGCTCCCTTTCCTCTAACTTTTTTAAAACCAGTGTGTTACTGAGTTTGTTTCATTTCTTTCAAAAGTTTTCCCTTGCTGTAAGGGAAGAGGTGCTGTGTTCAAAAGCTGCTGCTGCTCGTTGTTCTGCCCAATAGTGATCTCAAAGCCATCAAAATCTGGGAGTAGCTGCCATTAGTCAGTTCAACACCTTATTGGTGATGAAACTGACCACTAATAACCGTTTGGAGCATTAAATTGAGAGGGAGCAGGGAGAGATTATGCAGCATCTCTTACTCTTTGGTCAGGAACAAAACAGCTGGGGGAGTTTTAAATTATATTTCAGCCTGTTCCCACTGGCATGAGGCTATGTCTTGCTTATCCTCCCTGTCCTTTTTTTAATTGTACCCATAGGACAAAAATGTGTGTTTATATCAGGTTTTGTTTTGATTATCCTGCTTGCTTTAGCAGCGGAACAGTTCTTTCTCTGTTCTAGCCAATCACCATTGGGATGTGTTGGAGAAGGTACGAAAGCGGAACGTCTCCTATGAGGTAACACAAATAATGATCACTTTGGGCTTTTACACAGTGAAACGCTCCTCAAATCCAGTGCTCATCAGTTGAATCGGCTGGCAAATGGAATGTTCTCTTTCAACCATGGTAGGGAAACTAGGATGCTTAGTGCTGAAGTAGTATGACTTTATTTTTGTACTGATCTACACACCGTTGTCTTCTGCAGTTGCACAGAGCAGATAATTTAGGGCCCCGTGCATCAGAGATACCTCTCGCAGAAGCGCCATTGACACTAATGAAAGAGCACCTCTTGTCTTTTGCAGGGCGATGTTCCTGCGCAAATCACTAGTCCTACTTCTGAATTGCTTGTGTATTTGCAAATAAGTTATGTACTGATGCTGCAGTGCCCCTATGCTGTCACGCAACCGAAGTTCATGCTCAGGAGACCTATAGAAGTGCTAAGAGGTGGCACTTGTTTACCTGCTAAAAGTTTCTTTAAACTTAACTTCTGTGCCCCCTCTTTCTGGTGCAATTTAAAAGGGATTTTTTTTAAAAACCAGAAATGACCTTTTAATGACTTCTTTACAACTGCCTAGAGCAAGGGAATTTGCTTGCCCACCTTTTCCTGAATACTTAGTGACTGTGCGGTACTCAAAATTGTCACATAGGTTTCTGGCAATAAGTAGCCACAACCAGAAGATGAAAGGGAACATCACAGCCTTAGTCTGGATGCCTTGTTGCCTTTGCTTGGTTTGCATGAACTCAGCAGGAAGAGGAGACTTTGAATGTCTTTTACCAACATATAGTCCAGCCTTTTCATCACGAGCTTTTAAAACCATCACCATTTAATAGCTTGACTTTGTATTAATGCAATATTACTAATGCCTTTAATTACATGACGGTTTATACCAAAGACTGCTTTTTGTTAAGGAATGTTTGAAGGAAAGCTCTGACTCATATTTGCCTTGGATATTTCTTCAGAATGTTTTACTAAGTTCTAAAGTCTTTTATAGAAGTTAATATCCTCCACACTTTATGCAATTTATGCTTTCCTGAACACTTGTTCATCAGACCTAAGATGAAGCAAACTTGAATGTCAGTTAGGAGCATTTTGCCACTAAATACCTTTGTTTATAAACCAGAATTTTGTTGTATATGCTAATATTTTCAACCTTCTTTGTTCTGTTCAAACAAAATAAAATGCATTTGTATAAAAAGTCCACTTAGGTCAGTATTTTCAGGTTTGAAGGGGATATGACTTTGCTCATTGAATATAGGCTGTTTGGCACAGTAGTGCCAGCACTAAATGCACGACCATTTAATGAAAGCTCATTGTGTACGCATTTCAGTAACTCAATTGACAAGGCAGTACAGCTGAATTCCCTTTTATTTCATTACAAATAGTACAACCTTGTTAAGCTGCTCTTGAGGTTTGCATGGCACAAACAAATTGCGTAGAGGGGGGAAAAAACTTTCCAAAGTGGTGGCACCTATTGGGACAATGCAAAGACTCCACTACCATACATTTTTCACCTTCAAAGTAAAGGAAACTGTAGAAAATCCAGAATTGGCTACAGATTGTCTGCTGAATGCACAAGCTTGTAAGGCAAAAAACAGTTTAGGTTTGAAAGGCAGCATGTTGTAAACATTGCAGGGGAAGCCTTGTTCGTACCACTGAAGATCCCTCTGGCCAGAGGACTGTGCCCTCTGCCCCCCTCCCTTTTGTTTCTGAATAGGATTTAGAAAGTGACATGCCCTAATAATCTTTCCAACAGGCTATAAGAAGAATGTCAGTTACCTTCAGCGATGTCCCAAAGTGTGTGTCCAAAAGTTCCTGCATTCCTCTTGTGCTTTGGTAGTTTGCTTGGCAGTGTAACGTGTTAGCTGGCTCTGCAGACAGTCCTCAGTTGCAATCACAAGTCATTTAACCAATCAGCCCACAAAAGGGAACTGTTACAGAAAGTTAATTTCAAAGCCATATATAAAGACCTATTTAAACTATGATTTAATTTGAAGAGGTGTAGTGCATGGGAATGAGTCTAATCAATAGGAACTGTTAAAACTGGCATCTAGTGTAACTGGAGTCACCAAGTCATCTTGTTTCCCCTCAACTGGGGTGGGGGAATCCCAAGAATTGATCTGCCAAGAAAGCAGGGATCTTGAGTCTCATGTTCGCACTTGGAATTTCCCTGCTTTTGTGATGTACTTCACACCTTTAAACGGTTTGTACTTTTCTCCGTACATGTCAAGGCGGTTTACTTTTAACCCTGAAATAAGGAACAAGGTAGGTTTTAGGGACACAATATTTAAACAGAGTCCAACTCTTACAACGGAGGAACCCCCTCATGAAAAAATCTGTTCAGCACAACTACTGCAGCATTTCAGTCCTTCGGAGTAGACAGTTTCCCAATTTATAGGAGATATAACTTGGAATGAGCTTTATTTCCCCAAGCTGGTGCCCTCCAGTTATTGGATACCCATCAGCCATAATCGGCGGTAAAAGATAATGGGCACTGTTGTCCAAAATAACTAGAGGGCATCAGCGTGGGAAAGCTCAACTGGGTATGTGTCAATTTCAGGTTACAATTCTGCACCATGAACAGCTGAATTTGTTCAAATTAGCCCCCTTTTGCTAGTCTTGGAGATAGATGCTGCTGCTGCTATTATTCATTGCATTTGTCGCTTGCTATAAAAAATGTCACACTATAACTTAGTTACTAAAACATGCAGAATTCCAAACATCACAAAGATAAAATCTTGTCTATAAGTGCTCATCTTGCAATATTATAGAAGGACAAATTCTGAACCACCCCACTAAAATATGAACATGGTAAAATGTTAAGCAGGGCTCTGAGGCCACACACAGCCCTTTAGGCAGTGGCAATCTTCAGCCACTTCTGAGACTTTTACGATTTCAGCAGGCATCAGACATTTGCTATCTTCATAGCTATAAGGGGAAAAACACTCTTTATGGTGGATGCCAAGATTGTGCCCCAAAGCCCAGTTCTGCAGTCAGCAAAACAGACCGCTCCTTCCTCTAATAGCAAACCTGGGTGACTGATTATCGACAGGACTGGAGCCAAAATGGGACTGCTAAGGAACAAGGAGGCCAGGTCAACGTGTTCAGATGAACTCTGCAGTATGCAGAAATGCAAAACTTATTTAAAGTTCAAAAGGTGGCAATCCCCACCCAAGAAGAGCCCAATGAGGACTGAGCGTGCTCACCGACCTGGGGATGGGAAGAGATGGGAAGTGCCAAATAGGCCAATTGTCTCTTCCTCTGCACCACCCCTTTCCTAACTATGCAGCTCTTGGTATTCAGGAGGAGGAGTGGCTGGTGCCTTGAAAAGGAGCATTCCTACTGGTGGACAAACTGCAGTATTTTTGCAGGTCCCACATTCTATACAGACTACGGAAATGCCATTTGTGGCAGATAAGAGGTAGAGGGGACGGCCTTTATTGCAGGCGGATACTTTTAGATACTGATTTAAATCAGATTTTTATTTTAAAAAGCTCCAGCTGCAGCAGGTTTCTCAAAAACAGTCAGCCCAGTGATTTCAGAATTAAACCCAAAATTCACGCAAACATCATCTCCTTATAAAAGTACTTTTTCCTCTGTAAAACACATTTTACGATATCATACACTACAATCTCTCTTGTATGAGAGAAAGTGGCAAGGGGGGGGGAGCTGGTGAGAGCTACATCTGTTCTGCTCAACTTCCTTGCAGTTTGCTGCCCCTTCTGTTTGTCCCACTTTGGGAGCCATGGCATGGTGAGAAAGCTAGCCCCTCTCCTGCTTCTTGGCTGTGCTTGTGAGCTGAAACTCAGGAACTGGCCTATCTCTCTAAGCATGTCGCCTTCAAGAACTGAAATATGCTACTGAAGTCTTCAGTTCACCCCAACCAGCTGCGTGTTCCCTTAAGTTTGGGAGAGAAATTCATCGCTAAGTCCTGCTCCAGGCCAATGGGATAAGCACCTTACCTGAAATAGCCAGCTGCTGTATCTTGAACTGAACATTCAGGTTGGGGTTTTCTTCTGGCTTGGGCGCTCCAGACTGCAAATTCACCACCCCTTTAAGGCTGGGCAGCTTCTGCGGGGCGATTTTGCCAACATCCCATGTTAAGACCTAAACAACAAACAGTAGTGGTAACAGTGCCTTTCCAAACTGCTTTTCCTGTGAACAAAGTCAACATTGTCACCCCCATATTATAGTGTGCATGTGCTGAAGATGAGATTTAAATAACTGGCTAAGGCACCCTGCCCCACTTCCAGGAAGTTTTGAACCGGCTTGCGGCTTTCTCGCGATGCAGCAACTGCTCTTTCATTTTTATTTTTTTTTTTATAAAATTTTTATTGGTTTTAGAAACTTTTTAAACAAAAAAGAGCAGTTTCAAGCGGGGCAAAAACAGAGAAAATTGTTTTGAAAAAGCTGGACAGGATACACACTAAAGGCCTGGCTGAGGATCCTGAAGCAAACGGCTTTGTTGCTGCCAGCAAGCTCCTAACCTACATTTCTAAACCAAAAAGCAACAGAAACAAGGGAAAGAAAGCAACAGAATATTCTTCCACTGGGGCTCTTTCCAAGAACGAGCCTGATCCTCACCCCCTAACCCTGTTTGCTTGGAAGGAATTCTTTGTTTGAGCAGGATTTACAAGGGCTCATGTGCATGAATGCAGCCTCACACCCTAATCCTACCCATGTTTACTCAGAAGTAAGCCTCACAGTTCAATTGGATTTACTGCTAAATCAGGTACTTGGGACTGTAACCTTAATAGGACAAGCTGAGGGAGAAAAGCTGGCCAGAAACATTTGTTTCAGTCGAGGCAAATGGAATGCAAAATAACTACCCTAATTAATATCCATTTGAGGACATTCGTGCACAATAAGCCATCTTGGGGTTTTATTCTGCACCCAGCTGTTTTTGCAATGTTTCTGGCCGGCAAAGAAATCAGAAAAATGAGGAGCCAGTGGGATGTACAGGGAAGACAATGGTCACGAGGCCTTGCCCTTTCGAGTGAAAGATTTACAGGACTCCAAATTCTGTGCAATTCTCAAGTGTCATTAACCTGGCTTTTTCTAATCATTTGCTCAAGAACCATGAGCCAGGGCTACACTTGCAACATCCCTGTGTTAGGTAAGTGTGTGTGTGATGACAGGGCATTTAGCTCACACTGGCAAGGCTGTATTCAAGTAAAGCAGTTGTGTGAAACAGCAAGGAAAGCTCAAGTATGAGGCGTGAGCTTGTATCCTAGGCTGCCGATTTCCACTTGCGCAATGGAACTTCTCCCTTATCTCCTCTCCTCTGAAGCCCGCCCCCCATGCACTCCCTGGATGGAGATTTTGGGGGATGCACAGGGAAAAGGGAGGAAGTGGGGGGTCCTGTTGCATAAGCAGAATGCTGCTTGCACAGTGCTGAATACAACCCAAAGGTGTCTTGTCACATGTTCCCAGCATCCCATAAGGCAGTCAAAGGTCAGCACACTTAAGCAGAGATTAGAGAAGGCCAAGCAGCCATATGAATTGGTCCAATGCTCTGTTACACATGGCAGGCATCACCCCTCTTTTCATTTCATTGGAGCAAGCCCCTCTAAATTATACAAAAGGCGGGTTATAGAACCCACAGAGGACAACAGGACTTACTTTGGTGACAGGATCAAACGTGTGGTTGCCTTGTGTGGCTGTAAGGTTCACGTTGAGCACCGCTTTTGGCATGTGAACGGTCATGAGGACTCCTTCCACCGTCTTCCCCATGTTCTGTTTGGGCCCAATTGTGACATCGAACCTTCCTGAAGACGAGTTGTCCTTGAAGCCAATCGCATGCTTCACGTATACTGGGATGGCCACCAAACTATACATTCAAAAAGGAGATTAAATGCCGTCATTAACCGTGTGGGCACATATCAAATATGAGATGCTGTTTTACACATTGGGAAGTAGAGGCTTGTAATGAATGAAGGCAAGTAGTCAGAACAGTGAACTCCTGGTTCCACTTCCACTCCCTAGATAGCTCAGTTGGTTAGATCATGGTGCTGATAATGCCAAGGTTACAAGTTCGATCCTCCACAAGGGACAGCGGCATATTCCTGCATTGCACGGGGTTGGACTAGATGATCCTCAGGGTCCCTTCCAACTCTACAATTCTATGATTCTCTCTCCCTGCATTATAAATCAAGCCCAAATCTAGTTTGCCTTACAGCCCCTCCATTCTCTTTCCCACCCAGATCTAAGGCATGTCTGCAGCTATGAGTTGGGCCAAACTTATTCAGGGACAGCCCCATGGAGGCCACGCTTTCCACGAAGTCCCAAGCAGCCCCTTGCAAGGTCATGTCGGCATGGATGTTAGAATTCCCTAGGACAACCAAACTAGGTGTCTCCAGCAGAACATCTGTCACCACCTGAAGCTGCTCCGGCAGAGAATCGTTGGTGCAGCGGGGAGGTCAGTACACCAAAAGGAATCCCATACTGCCCCAATTGCCAAACTTCCAGAACATGCACTCAGAAAACTTGGTCTTCCAACTAGGACACCTGATGCAAACTAATGACTTCCTAAAAACCACTGCAACCCCCCCTCCCCACCCATATGACCTGGGTTGCTGTGCATAAGAGAAACCTGGTGGACAAGCAGCAGCAAGAACAGGTCCATCTGCCTCGTCCAACCAAGTCTCTGCTACACATGCCAGGTCAAGTCCTCCATCCACGATCAAGTTGTGGATGATGGTGGTCTTGTGAATCATTGACCTGACACTGCACAGCAGCACCTTAGGGTCATATAGGTCTCCCTTGTTGATTCCAGTATCCTTCTGGTCCAGGCCAGACCTGGAGGCTGGGATAGTCTTCAAACAACGACTAAACCTGCCTCCTCAATAATGACATGGTCTGGTCCTAGCGTAACTACTCCTCCTACCCGTGATCACTAAGTCCAGGTGTCCCAGTGCATCCCCCACTCTGGAACCTGTCCCAGCCATTTTGCTGGCTGGGGCCCACTCCCAGGCAGCCATGATCTTCTCCCCTTCAGAACAGAGTATGTTATACAATGTTATGCAATAAGTCAGTAAAACAGTAGAAACGAATAATAAGAAACACAATGTACAGTTATACTAAATGGACATGAGAGATTGCTGCAAGACAACTACTAGACAAACTCCTAAATGGCTTTGAATCTTGGCAATGTTCTGCCATAGAACTGTTCTGCGTAGCTGGGGTTGGCTTACTAACAGATTTCCCCGCTTTTTAAAATAACAACAAAAGGAGTTTGTCTCAGTGACTGCCATCCACCTCCCTGAGTAACCCACATACATGCCATGGAGGGTGGCAATGGCAGTCACCAAAAGAACCTCCATTACTGTTAGAGAAAAAGCCAGCCACTCCCACCATTGATGAAAAAAATCCTAACCTTTAAAAATAATTTACCCCTAAATTAGGGGGGGAAACCCACCAAAATGTCACCCACCCTCATTTGACAACAGGTGAACTGGAGAGAGTGTGTCATTTTCTTTCATCAACAGTGTAAACTGGCTTTCAGCAAACTATGGGATCCTCATAACAAAACCACTTCTGAGTCTGTGGGTAGGGATTTGCATAATATTTTGCACACAGAGATGCTCAGTTTTTGTTAGGCACAGAAATAATAAGCAATATCAGCCCATGTTTCTAACACTTGTCCTACGGAGGCTACAGAAAGGTATCAGCATGCGTACGGCACCACGAAAAGATTAGAGAGAGTTTAACAGGATCGTGGATGACAGCAAAGACAACTGTTGTGTATATACACAGCCCCTCATCTTCAGACTTACTTTTGTGAGCTGACTCGATAGGAAATCAATCTGAAGTTTCCATCTGGGGGAATGAAGGAGAGCACTCTTTCCGACTCCCAGCGCTTGAATCGGATACAGGGGTGAAAGCTCACATCATCCAGGAGTCTTGGATTCTATAGAAGGTGAATCAAGATAAACACTTTCTCAGTTATACTAAATATTGACTAGATGACCTAAGGGTTCTTTCCAACTCTGCAGTTTTAGGATTTCATTATTCATCCTGGAGCGTCACAATGTTTTTCTCTCATATTCATTAGAATACGTTGATGTTGGCAAATCTAGAGATTTTCAAAACCTGGCCCAGTTAAACTCACTGCCTTGTTATTTGGCAAGTCACTGTCATGTGCCAACTAATAAGGTTTTTGGAAGATAGGAGGAGACAATAGCCGCAAGCCTATGCAAACTAATTTAGGGTTAAGTGGAACTTTCTTTTGAGTCAACATGAATAGGATTGCACTAGTTAATGATTAATGCTTTTGGATGAGTGCCGTGCTTCAACTCTCAAGAGCCAACATCTATCCCTCACATTCATTTGTGTATAAACCACACACACACACACACACACACACACACACACAAACTGTGATAGACCTGAGTCCCTCTGTGTCACATAACACACATATTTGCCTCCTTCTCACCTTCAAGGTGATTCCTGGCGCTTATAATAGACTCATTCCCTACATGCAGCTTGCAAATGCTTCAGTTAGCCTTTGCCAGTGGATCACCCCTAGGCTGTTTACACATTTCCTTCCCAAGTTATTTTCTCCTTTTTTCCTGGGCACTTCATGGAGCCCCAAAGTGACTCTCTGTACACAACTGTGCACATTGGTGCTTAAATAAATGAATAATAAATACTCACTGCCTTTCATATATTTTCCCTTCTTTAATGAACTTACTGCATTTAGAATTTGAGGCACAGCAGGATTCTCTGCCACTCAGGGACAGGGCTCCCTCCACACTGCCCTGACTGCTTGAAATACAGTACAGTGGTACCTCGGGTTACATACGCTTCAGGTTACATACGCTTCAGGTTAGAGACTCCGCTAACCCAGAAATAATGCTTCAGGTTAAGAACTTTGCTTCAGGATGAGAACAGAAATCGTGCTCCTGCGGCGCGGCCCCATTAGCTAAAGTGGTGCTTCAGGTTAGGAACAGTTTCAGGTTAAGAACGGACCTCCGGAACGAATTAAGTACTTAACCCGAGGTACCACTGTACCGGTTTTAAGTTAACAGGAGGTAGGGGGAAAGGCAGGCTGATGCTTGAGTGGTGCAGACTAGGAGCTTAGACGGAGGTCCCCTTCTCATGGGTTGAATAATCTAAATCATGGGTACTTCACTCACCCAGATTTAGGCTGGCCAGAGCAACTGGAAGCAACAGTAACAAGGCAAAGGACACAGTGCTGGGAGTCTGTCCAACACGGCTAGTGCTGGGATAGCGGGTCCCTCTCCTGCACAATTACTTTAATTCCTCTTATTCAGTTATTTAAGGCAGGGATGGGGGAACCTTTGGACCATAAGCCTGATTAAGCCTAACCTGGGCTTCAATTTATATCGCAAACCAACCTGTCGTCTTTGGATGAAGGGTGGTACAGAAATTACTACTACTACTACTACTACTACTACTACTACTAGTAATTTGGGCAGTTTCCCCACAAACCATGCCCACCTGCTCCCACACCTGATATCATATGTCTACATGGCTCTACAAAAGACCAATCAGGAACCAAAGTGAGATCCTGACTGGTTTTTTCCAAGCGGAACTCACTGACAGCGCCAATCAGCTGCTTGAGGATCCACGATTGTACAGAGGGTTCTATTTGCGTTCAGGTGAATGCAGACCTCTACTTCTATTTAGAACGAACATGCACACACACTATAAACGAAAACGCGACTTACCATAAAAGAAAGTGAAAGATCAGGCATCCCCGAGAGTTTGATGCAGGCATCAATGACCCCTTGAATTTCTGCAAAGACCGTGGAGCCTGGCAGAGAGGAAGGAAAGATCACCGAGCGATCTCTTAAAAGAGGATTCAGCAGATCACACCTTAAGGAGTCATTTGCACTATGCAAGTGAATAAACTAATTTAATGTGCTTCAGGGAGACTTCAGTTCATTGGATATTATTTGCCCTCGGGATATATGTTTTTGAATTGCCACAACAACTGAAGATGTTTTTGAGCAACTGTGGCAAAGCTGCTAGAAGAACAAGCTGTGCCATTTCCAAATCTTGTTCCTCCCATGACCTCATTAAGCGGTCTTAAGAAAGTCATTCAGTTTCGGCCTTGGCCCCCTTTCATAACATGTGAGTAGTTAATATTGACATTACAACAACCCTCTAAGGTAGGCTTACTGAGATATCAAATTTCACTGAGCACTTCGAAATCCAAGCTACGATATAAAAGATATTACTGAAGACTATTTGTGAAGCACTACCCCAGCTCTAACTCTCCCATTTCACTCTGCCAAGGATAAGAACACACATTTGAAAGCCTCGTACCAGATTTGTCTATAATGGCATCTATTTCTTCAATCACATCGAAGTAAGCTTCATTGTTGGTGTACTTTACTCCTGCTCTTCTCCAGGGAATGTTTGACAGCTGCCCAGTTGGAAGAGTATCACCCACATTGCTGCTGCCTTGGAAATACAAAAATAGCCAAAAGAAACCAGTAAGAAATCAATATCCTAAGAAAAAGAAAAAAACCTGTCATACACACACAACACCACCCTCCTTACTGAATGACTGGAAAGTTGGCAACGTAATGCTGATTTTAACAAGGGACTCAGGAAGCTACATACCAATTAGCTTAACATCTGTCCAAGGTAAACTGGTACAAAGCATACATTATCTTTAAAGGCACTGTGCACCAATTTCCCCAACGTATATATGGACGAATAATCTTTGCAGAAGAACCAACAAGGAAAATCTTGCTTCAGCCAGGGCTGGGCGATATCTGGTTTTCAACACTGCGATATATAACCAGCTACACATCTTGATGTATCCAGAATGGAGCTATGTAGAGAATTGGCTGGCTTCACGGTGTTTCCCACTTTTTGATTTTTACATAGCACACACATACATCACGATTCATGATGTATTGCCAGGTCAAAAATAATAAAACCGATTCATGAAACTCATTTTGAACTATATATCGATATATCGCCCAGCCCTAGCCTCAGTGCCATCTGGAGTGATTTGAGAGTGTCAACAAGCAAGTGGATAGGCTGGTCTGGTAAATACTACATGGTTCTTTGACAAAGCCCCCGCTAAGCAAATGAAGATGCTGGATAAATTTAGCAGTCACGGGATAAGAGGTCTGGCCCTCTTTTGCAGGAGCAGCCAACACGGCTGATGCAAATCTCATCAGCCCCAGCCAGTTTCTCCAAGGCGGAGGGCATGTTATCTGATCCTGCTCTCATAGCTCAGGAACTTAAGAAACATTCAAAGTTTTCTCTTCCTGAATTTGCACAAACCAACTTTTTTGGAGAAGCACAAAGTGGTCAAGCCTTTGATTTCAAGAGCGCTAAGAACGAGTTGCATTTGGAAGCTGTCGTGGTACCTGTGATGGAGTTGACAACGGAGCGCAGGATCGTGGGAGGTTTAATGAGCTCTTTCAGGATGTTGGATTCTGTTGCCAGAGGAAAGCCATTGTCCAGCATTTCTTCAAGAAGCTCATAGACAATAACAACATTGTCTTTAATTGCAGTCTCTGAGCACTCTCCAAAGTAATCCTAAACCAAGGAGAGGATGCAAAGGAGGCGATTTATTCCAGTTAAAAGCTTTTCCTTCACGTAAAAACCATCTTATATTCAGCAACTGCCACAGCCTAATGCTCTGCAAGCTTTTTGAACCACACTTAAGATGAATTGCTGAGTGCAGCAAAAGCAAGCAGACCTGGTATTTTTCTCCATTGCAATGCAATGGAGCAGTCCTTGCCAGAGCTGATGTCCACTTGTTTCCCTGCTCTCCCATGCTCAGATGGGACTGCAAAGAATTTTGACAGGTGGGCAGGGCAACCCACCCGTGACATTAGAGTGGCGCCTATAATTCTTAGGTGAGCTGCCCTTCCCACCTGTCAAAGTCTGCCACCCCTAATATTAATGGATGCTCCTCTTTGCAATAGCCCCTCTCAACAAAAAAGCTAACCACCACTTTGTTTTTGTATTTGACTAAAATTATTTCTATTCTAGTTACCCAATTTCACCCACTCTGTGCTAATTCATTACATTACTAGTTAATTGTACAAAACAAAGCCTTTCTAAAAGTTAAATGCTTGTTGTATATAAAAGTGGGAGAGGAATCCTCCAGGCCAGGCTTCCTCCAGATGTTTTGGACTACAATTCCCATCATCCCTTACCACTGGTCCTGCTCGCTAGAGATCATGGGAGTTGTAGGCCAAAAACATCTGGAGGCTGGAGGGCCAAGTTTGAGGAAGCCTGCTCCAGGCAAACAGGCCAGAGTGTGTGACAAGTGTATTTAAACGCAACTGAGCACCCTGTGGAATGCCCACATGGCTAAGAACAGGCATAGGCAAAGTCTGCCCTCCAGATGTTTTGGGACTACAACTCCCATCATCCCTAGCTAACAGGATCAGTGGTCAGGGATGATGGGAATTGTAGTCCCAAAACATCTGGAGGGCAGACTTTGCCTATGCCTGGCTAAGAACTTCCCCAAGGCCTGCAACTCGTAGGAATTAGACTTTCGTTTCCCCTCCGAAACCGTACAATTGCTCCACAGACTAACCTGAAAAGTGTCTGCTACACGGTGAAGGAACTCAATGACAAAGAGTGGTGGCACTTCTGTCTGTATGACAGACACAAAAAATATTTTATCCCGATAGATGCTGATGAGGTAGTGGTGAGGCGTGGAGATGACAGGAGGCACATTTTCAACATCGGCCGCTCTCTCCTGAGCTTCAAAGAAATAATCACACACAGATTGGCTGACAACGCTCTTCCAGTGCTTCTCCAAGAATATATCACCAGAACAGTTTATAAGAAACAGACTGTGGATCATTTTCTGTTGGAGACACATTCACACATATTAATGCAAATAAACAATTATTTGGGCTGTTGATCTGCTCCCTCCCTCCCCCCACCCCCTGAAACTTTTTGGGAACCATATGCACTAGAAGAGGTAGCTCAGGCTACATTTAAACATAACTGTTGTGTGCTGTTTGGAAGAGGGTCAAGTGGAAGAACCCAGCCTTTAAAACTCAGAATTTTCTGCAAGGTAATCCAAGTTAAAGGTAAAGGTAAAGGTACCCCTGCCCGTACGGGCCAGTCTTGACAGACTCTAGGGTTGTGCGCTCATCTCACTCTAGAAGCCGGGAGCCAGCGCTGTCCGCAGACACTTCCGGGTCACGTGGCCAGCGTGACAAGCTGCATCTGGTGGGCCAGCGCAGCACACGGAATGCCGTTTACCTTGCCGCTAGTAAGCGGTCCCTATTTATCTACTTGCACCCGGGGGTGCTTTCGAACTGCTAGGTTGGCAGGCGCTGGGACCGAGCGGCGGGAGCGCACCCCGCCGCGGGGATTCGAACCGCCGACCTTTCGATCGGCAAGTCCTAGGGCCTAGGCGCTGAAGCTTTTACCCACAGCGCCACCCTATCCAAGTTAGCAGTCAGGAAAATTTGCCTGCAGAGCTGCATCTGAAACAATTTGCAGACTAGCTAAAGAACACTTGGCTGGAGTCAACGTATGGAAAGTCCTATGTTAAACTCACCAGAGGTTTTTATTTTACTTTTAGATTTCCAAAATACCCAAGTACTTTCTCATTACAGCAATTTTGACTGGTTTATGAGGGTCATCTGGGTTCTACTGCCAGCTGCTTTTAAGCAAAGATAAACAAATCAAGAGTAATAGTAGCAGCCATTTTGAAGTGCCCCATTTATTTCCTAATGCATTATTATCTTAAATATGCCACTGTAAAAGGCGTTATTTAAATAAGTGTGATACCTGGTTTAATAAATTTGCTGCTACTATCTACACAGCTGGTTTATGAAAGTTTTTTTCTAGCATCAGTAAAAACCACATGTTTTAAAGCTCCATGACAAGAGATTTTCCAGGAACCTAACAGGACTAAAGGAACACACCAGTTAGAAAATCTCAGCCTTGGGGAAAGTAGCAAGTCGTATTCTTTGTCTGCTAAGTCGACAAACCCTGTTTATTCTTTTTGCACAGACTTTCATTGATACAGTCTTCAGTGAAACTTTAATGGAACTTAGCTGGAGGAAATAGTAATAGCTAGCTAGGCATAGCCTTTAGATTTTATTTGTGTATCAAATCAGAATTAGGCTCTGCAAGTAAATCTTCAAGAGATAACAAATTTCAGTAGCAGTAGCACAAGTTGCAGTTAATACTGCTAACTTACAGAGCTTCAAAAGAAGGACGATGCAAGTTCAAGAGGGATAGTTCAGAGAGTGATGGAGTAGACCTGGGGTGGGGGACCTCTGCCCCTCCAGATGTTATTCGACCTCAGGAAGAATGTTCTGACTGTAAGAGCTGTTTGACAGTGGAACAGACTCCCTAGGAAGGTTGTGGGTGCTCCTTCCTTGGAGGTTTTTAAGCAGAGGTTGGATAGCTATCTGTCTTATATGATCTAGTTAAGATTCCTGCATTGCAGGGGGTTGGACCAGTTGACCCTTGATGTCCCTTCCAACTCTACAGTGCTTTAATTCTATGACTCCAACTCCCTTTTGCACCAGCCAGCAGGGCCAATGGTCAGCGATTATGGGAACTGCAGTACAACAAGACCCGCAAGCAGCGTTCGAAATTTGCCAGGCCTGGCTATTGGCCACTTGTGAGCAAATGAAAATGCCTATGCACCAGGATGGTATCTGATGTCTCCATCATCTGGAGGTGCATGCCTGGGAATCCTTGGATCTTGACTGTTTTCACACCCTAATAACACCACTGTAGAATTCTGTTATATTATATCTGCACAATCAGAATGAATTTCAGGAACCAAAAAGCTGTAGTGAAAAATACGACTTTTGAGCCATCTGGCCCCAAAATGGCAACTAGGCATTCCGTTTTGGCAACTGTAACCCTGGTTTAAGGAGCCATTTGGTGCCTAGCTTTTTGGGGGTTGCTGGGAAACAGAGTTCAACAACATCTGGAGGGCTTGAGGCAAGTTCTTCACCTCAAGACTGTGTAAGCCTCAGGGCAAGTCAGTATCATCCCAAAAACATGCCCTATTGTTCTAGGCTGAACAGAAAATTCTACATGATTAATGTCTTTTTAATAGCTATCAATACATTACACAACCATTAATGTCTTTGGAAGATCTTTGCAATTTGCAACGCCATCACAGAGAGCTTCCTTTTCTGCCAGTAGCACTGATGAAAATGTTCATGGGCTTTTAAGGATGCTACCAATGAATTTTCAAGTTTTCACATCTCAGAGTGATTTTTCTTGCTCCCAAATTGAACTGCCAAAAGCTGGCTAGGTGTCATATGGTTATGACTGTCCTTCACTATGATAGAAACTGAGATATAAAAGCTATTGCCCCGGTTGCACCAATGGAATGTGTAGAGGCCTTTTGTTTGTTTTGCAAGATTGCAAAGTTGAAAATGAATCTGACTCGTGACATAGCACGGCAGCAAAAAAACTGCTGCAACAGGACCATTAAACAGGACTAACCCTCTGAGTCAGCAGAACTTGCCTTTTCATCTACTGTTCTGAACATTAGTTTATACTGAAAAGGAAATATGATATAATCCAGGATCAATTTATCAACTGTCAATATATTGGATGCCTATTTTGCACTCCTTACTAGGATCTGCCCACAGCAGGTGCTGTATTGCTCCTCTCCTAGTTACACTAAAGGCAAAGAAATTCAGCAGACAGCTGTATAGAGGTAGTGAAATAATTATGGAAAGACCTTCCCAGTGCATTCCAGTGCCAACAGAATGAGCACCTTGTGCTTTAAACACAACACCATCCCCCAAAGCAGAAGCTACTTTTGACTTCAATTGCTATAACCCAGCCTAATAATGAAATATTTCATTGGGTGCTTTGTGCAGCATCCATGCAGACAAGAGCACCCTTAATTCCTAAAAAGAGCTTCAGATGTGGAAGGGAAGGTGTTGACAACACTCTGGACCACCCTCCTTTCTTTCCTATCTCTATAGTCCATCAGCTGTTCTGGTTTGTCAATTATCCAATAGCACAAACCATTGTTTGCATATCCATTTCAAGCTAGGGTTTCCAGTTCTGGATTGCTAGCCAGCTGCTAACTATAAATTGCCAATGGCCGCCACACAAACATGTAATTAAGATTCCTTAACCACTGCCTGGTGTGAAGTCTGATATGGACCATTCAAATCTGCCTGTCCCTTGTTTGTGGGGAACCCAAACCCCTGAGGCTTAGCTAACACCAACCAATATTTGAAAGTCTGCAAGGCGGTTTGTGTAACAGTTAAGTTTATTTTACGGTACTGCCGGAGGAGATGTATATGGGTGTTTGGGGTTTTTTTGCCTTTTGCTTTTTACATCTTGCCACGCCTAAAGGACAAACAAACATCTTCCAAATTACAAGGAATCAGCTCAGTTATTTCCTTCACCTAGAACCTCAGCCCTCATGTAATTTAAGTTATATTGCTGCCATTAGCTCAACGGTGAACGTGCATTCAACCCTCGGGACCAGCTGTATTTCTCACGTCTCATTTCCCCACCCAAAACAAACCCCGCAACAGTTGAAAATACCACCAAACTAGTTCAGCAAAGGATTACAGAAGTGGCAGCAAGATTTCTAGCATTTCCAGGAATCGCATTTTTTTTACAAGCATCCTGGAGAAACATTTGTTAGTTCTCTAACCAGCTGGTACCACCCAAAGAGTCACCGACAGCGCAAGCCTCAGCATGTCTACTCAGAAGTAAGCCCTATTGCATGCAGCGGGGCTTTCTCCAGGAAAGTAGGGGCGGGGGTCAGGGACTGTAAGCAGCCAGTTCAGTCTTAACCTCCAACTGAATCGTAACTAAGTGCCTTTACGCACGAACCTTCCACCAACTCACCCTCCAAGCGGAAAACTGACTCTAGAGCAGCAGGATCCGGCACAAGCCACACAGCAACAGCAGCGCTGGCAAAAAGATGGCTGCGAAGCCCTCCGATGGGGCCAGCCCCATCGCTAACCACACCCCGGCAGGGCGCCCTTGCAAACTGCCTGCACTGAAATGCAAGCCGCGGTTGGAAGAGGCCCGGGCGCCTGCCTTCCTAGAAATGTCCCTGCCATCTCCATTGCGCTTCCTAGTCCAAAAGGAACGATGCATCCTGGCTCCGGAGTTTTGGAGCGCAGCGAACTTCGCTGGGCGCGTTTTCATCCTTAGCTGCAATTTTTTGCTAACAATTCACCCAGGCGCAGAACTGGGAGCTGCATTATCGCCGGTCCTACCTGAAAATCTGGGGCCAAGTCCTTCCGCCTATTTTATTTTTAAGCCCAATGCCTGCGCATCCCCTCCGTTGCTGGATCAGGCATTCCGCCCAGCCTACCCTGCGCGCTTTTGTGCGTAAATCTCTCCCCGCCTCCTCTTGCTCCTCCTCCTCCTCCCCCCCCCTTGCCGGCTTCCCAGAAAGGAACTGGGTAAATTCGTCTGCAAAATAAATAAATAATAGGAGCTGGGAGCAGCTTGCAGGCGGCCGCTGGACGAGCATGAAGATGGCAGAAGAGGCGCCCCAAGCCAAGAAGCAAAAGCTGGAGCCCATTCAGCTTAGGTAAAGAGGGAAAAGACGGAGGAGAGGGGGATGGGATCGTATCGACCGTAAGTTACGAGGCGCCTGGATCAAATGCCGATGCCGATCAGGCTCCCACCCAGCCCACCCTCGAGGCTCAGAGAGTAGTAGGGTGGTGGGAAGCGCCTGGCAAGGTCGGCCAGCGTTGCCTGATGGGCAAGGAAGGGGCATTTCGGTGCCGTAAGTCCCATAGATGGCACGGGGCCCCGACGGCATCACGAGCGCTTATCCGCTGGCATGGTTTTTAGTGACCTCCTCCTGGAAGCAAAGGTTGGATTTATTTGGCAGGAGTCTGCATTGCCCTGAGCACGGTCTGCATCGCCCTGAAAGCGATCCTTTGCGCTTCAGGGAGCCGCGAGGGCCATTCTTCCTCTTGCACGCCGGCTAGGGTGATTTATTTGGATGCCAGAATAGGTTATTCGGGCTTCTTTGTTTCCTCCTAACTCTCCCTGCCATTATTCTGGAACGTTTGACGGCGCAATGAAATCAGGAGGGGAAATGTTCTATTGTTCATACAAGACTAATGGCTGGGAAATCGGAGGCTGCGTTCGTGGTGTGTGCCATTTGATTTGTTTTTGGGTGACAGTTATGCGGTAGGCGTGTAGGGACTCGCTCGCTCCACGTGGCCTAATCGCGCACGCCTGGATGTCTGCTCTGGGGAACTTCTTGCAGCTGTGACCAAAGAGGAAGAAGCGTTACCAAGAGGAGAGCAGGGGAAGTTCAGGCTTGAGAGAGGTTATTTCACAGGGCAGCACCAAGGGTTCGCTCCACAAGACGTTACGGTTTGTGCACGGAATATACTGTAAAGGTACAAAGTGCAAAGTGCAAAGTGAAGTTTGGTGGTAACAAACAAGTGTTTGCAAATGTGTGTGTTAATCAGACAGGGTTGTTAACATGGGTCCCAACTGCCTGCAGCTTCCTGTAAAATATACATTTGGCAGCAAACAGTGTTAGAAACTCATGTGTATAAGCTAGGTGTCATATAGCTCCTTAAACCAAGGTTTGTTGCCAAAAAGGAATGCATAGTTGCCATTTTTAGGCAATCCAGCTCTACAGTCTTATTTTTCAAATGATGGTCTGACTGATTCTCAGTTAAACATCTGAGTAGTTTAGGTGACAACCCTGAGCAAGATTAAGGACTTTGAGAATTTACAGAATAAAAGTCACTTGATCCACAAATATATTGGCCTATTCCTACCTCTTTTTCTGAATGGCAACACGGACCATTCATAACGTAATAATATTCTTCACAACTGTGAGCAGAGCAGTGGGGTGGGGTAAGGGAAGACAAACTACAACAATTAACTATAACATTTCCTGCTCCTACCCAGGCTGCACAGAAAAAGCAAATTGGTTCCTGAAATTCATTCTGATTGTACAGGTAAAATATAACTGCTAGAATTCTACAGTGTGTGGTACTGGTGTGTGAAAACAGTTGAGATCCAATTATCCCCAGGCATGTACCTCCAGATGATGGAGATGTCAGGTGCCATCCTGGCGCCAATACATCTTCATTTGGTTGCAAGTGGCCAATAGCCAGGTACAAAAAGCTCCTGGCCCCTGGCTAATTTCGAACACTGGTAGCAAACCTGCATCTTTGTCTTTCTAGCAAAGGCTTCCCCAACCTGGTGCCTCCACTCAGTCTAACTGGACTACAGCTGTCACCTGCTCTGCTCCCATGTGGTGGGTGGGATTGATGGGAGTTGTAGTCCAAAACAGCTGACGGGCACCAGATTGGTGAAGCCTATGCAAACTTGTGATAAAGCTCTGGGTTAAGAACAGAAGAACACCACCACTGGGTCAGACCAAAGCCCATCTAGTCTCACAGTGGCCAACTGGATGCTCTAACAAGGGTTGCCTGACAAATGCACTTGTGTGCTCATGTTTATATACAGACCTTTTCCACTGTGCACATTCATTTTAGGTGTAAATTATTTATTCATTTTTAATTGCAATTATAGCCCACCTTTTTCTCCATGGTAATGTCTTCATTTAATCCACTGTGTGGCAGGTCAGGCTGTGGCCCAAGGTCATGCAGTAAGCTTCATGGCCTAATGCAACACTCCAGCCACTATACCACACATAAACATACTCTTTGTGGCTCTCAGAAAGTCTGTGTCAGACCAGTTGAGATTAGGAACAGGCCTAGAATGGGGGAAGGTTAGAAAGAGTAGTTTGTTAAGTTTCTGAAGGAAAAGGTGCCCTCTTAAGAATGTTGGCTGGAGGAGTTGGTGGGGCGCAGAGGAATGAATGTCAGAACTGTGAACTTTGTACACTGTTATAATTTGACGGCCAGGGCAGCTTTACAATTAGAGGAGACCAAATGGGCAGAAACAATGTAAGGGATTTTGTCAAATCTGAGGAGATTAGTGCTGAAAGGAGACTGATCCAATTTGTGGCTTCATTTCTAATCAGTGCAATAATTCACATCTAAAATAATTTTAAAAGATGAATTTTTAACAGGTCTTTAAGGTGAGCGTCTATTCAAAACCTTTGATTGCTTGCTTGAGAGTCAGCTGCACCGAACAAAAATGGGATTTGCTTCCGAATAAATTTGCACAGGGTTTTGTTGTTAATCTTCAACTCAGTAATCGCACAACAGGAATTGCTTCTGTGTGAACAATAAAGCACTTATGGCAGGAGGCAGGGGCTCTGCCACCTAAACCCCCCAAACTGCTGTATGCACATTTGTGGACATGTCTCAGATATGCCTGTGTCCATACATACCTATATGCATATGCAGGCACTTGGGTTCCTCATCATGAAGAGCACTGCCTATATATTTAGGAATATTGCAGATGTGCCTTAAAATATCCGTATGATGTGTGTATGGTTTGCTACCACTCTCCATATGTGTGTTCCTTGTACATGTGAAGGCTGAGGCCTCTTGTTATACGTGGAACTAAGGCTTCCAGTAAAATGGGGCTTATAGCAAACATGTCACCATCATAGAATCATAACATTATACAGGTGGAAGGGACCCCGAGGGTCAAGCAGTCTACCCCCCCCCGAATGCAAGAATCTCCACTAGATCATCCATGACAGATGGCCACCCAACCTCTGCTTGAAAACCTCCAAGGAAGGAGAGTCCGATACCTCTCCTGGAAGTCTGTTCCACTGTCAAACAGCTCTTACAGTCAGAAAGTTTTTCCTATTGTTGAGTTGGAATCTCCTTTCTTGCAACTTGAAGCCATTGGTTTGAGTCCTAGCCTCTGAAGCAGGAGAAAACAAACTTGCTCTCTCTTCCAGGTGGCAGCACTTTTGATATTTAAAGATCGCTATAATTTCTCCTCTCGGTCTTCTCATCACTGGGCTAAACATACCCAACTCCCTCAACCGTTCCTCATAAGGTTTGCTTTCCAGACCCTTGATCATCTTGGTTGCCCCCCTCTGCACACGTTCCAGCTTGTCAATATCCTTCTTAAACTGTGGTGTCCAGAACAGGACACAGGACTTGAGATATGGGCTGACCAAGGCAGAATGACCAAGGCAGAATAGAGAATTTTCTTGTCATTATAAATATACTTCTCTTGATGCAGCGTAGAGTAGCATTAGCCTTTTTTTGCTGCTGCATCACACAGTTGACTCATTAGTAACATGGCTGGTTATCTGTGGCAAGTAAGATTGTTTGTAAACTGGTAGAGTTTGTTCTCCCCCCGCCCCCCAGCATCTTATCTGTCATAATTGCAAGGGTTGGGACTTTTCGCATGCTTATTTGAAAGGCTGGATTAAGGAGATACAGAACAGTTTACTGTCAGGTCAGTAGTTTATCTTAGTTGTTTTACAACTCTACAACATATAGGCTTTCCCCATATAGGCTTTGAAGTTCTTCTCAAAACAGTGCATAGATGGGGGGAGATGGTAAAACTTGCTGGGCTGGTAAGAGTAAATTCCAGCTGCCTAGAACTTAACCAGTGTAAATGTGTCCCTGAAGCAGATTTCAGTACACAGGCAGAACTGTGTGGATGAAGAAACAGACAACTGATCCCAAGCTGTTTATGGCTTGACAGGTTCAGCCCAGTATTTTGATTTGAAAGTACTGGTGGCTAATGTAACTAGTACACAAATGGTACTATGCATTCAGACTTAATGGCATCCACATTGTTGAGTTTTGCATTCACTTTGACTTCCAGACCATCTTCATCAAAGACAGCCCTACAGAAAGCTCATTACAGTGGTACTCGTGTTACATATGCTTCAGGTTACATAGGCTTCAGGTTACAGACTTCATTAACCCAGAAATACTACCTCGGGTTAAGAACTTTGCTCAGGACAAGAACAGAAATCGTGCAGCGGCGGCGCAGCGGCAGCAGGAGGCTCCATTAGCTAATGTTGTGCTTCAGGTTAAGAACAGTTTCAGGTTAAGAACAGACCTCCAGAACAAATTAAGTAC